GAGGGAGGTCATGGGCAAAATGGATTAGATCCATTGGACTCAAAAATCACCACACGCGCGCCACCATCTGATCGGGCGGGCTGGGCTGGGCCTGGGCACGGGTGCGTGGTGTAAGGTTGGGTTGGGCTTGTCTGGCCCAATACCTATCTTTTTGGATAAAAAACATTTGAATTTAATTTTATTTTTTGGTTTTGCATTTCCGTTGTCATCAAATTCCATTCATATGGAATTCTAGGTAAAACCAGAATTTTTTCTCAAGTTTGGTCTATTTTTTAGGTGGGCCCCGAGCGTCGATTTACTCGGGTCAAAGAGGTAACGCGTTCTATGCCGTGTTGTGATTCACGTGGGATATTTGGTTGCTCAAAACTATTACCGAGTGAATGGAAAATTGAAGCCAAAGTATGCTCCATAGAAATGGAGTTTTGGTGGAAAATCCTTAAAGGTTTGAATAAGGCTTGTCCCACATTGATTTGGTGGAAAGTTTTGAATGGGTTTATAAGGCATGGGATTGGAACTTGGGGTGTGCCCCAAGGGGTACCCAAGTGTTTTAGAGAGGGAGGTTATGGGTAAAATGGATTAGATCCATTGGACTCAAAAATCACCACACGAGCGCTACTGTCTGGTCGGGCGGGCTAGACTGGGCCTGGGCACGGGTGCGTGGTGTAAGGTTGGGTTGGGCTTGTCTGGCCCAATACCTATCTTTTTGGATAAAAAACATTTGAATTTAATTTTATTTTTTGGTAAAATAAAATCCAGAATTCAAATTAAACCAGAAATAAACTGGTTCGATTTTTTTCTGTACACCCAAACAGGTCCCTTCCGTTTTTTGAACCCAATAGATTTAAATCTGTTTAAATTGAAAACCGAACAGGTTTCAACCTGTCCAAACAGTGCCTATCTGTTTGAATTGAACAGGTTTTGCACTTGTTTAATTCAAAACTAACAGCCACAATTTTGCCTATAAATAGACTAGCCCCCCATTTGGATTTCTACTCCAATTTTTGTACTCCATCTTCTGCTATAAATCTCTGCATTTTGCTGCATTTAATTTCTAAAACAAAGAGTGTAAACACTTAATGTTTCGTCAGGCAAACAATTTGTAGTGCTGCTATTGTTTGTAGTTGATCATTTCATCCTGGGAGATAGACGTCCACAATCTAAAAGCACCGTGGAGAGGACGAATCTGTCTTAAGGACACAGTGTCAAACACTGGACTTGATCAGAATAATATTCAAGATATTAATCAAGTAAGTTATTTATTTATTTTCTGTTTTTATTATCTATTTAAATCAGATTTTAATTTTGTTTTTGTAATAAAATAAAATCTGTTTTTATTTATTTAATTTTTTTTCTAGTTTGATTTTTGTAATCAAACAAATTCTTTCCTTTTCTTTATTTCTTTATATTCTTATTGTTATTTAGTACACAACAGAATTAATTATTTTAAATACAGTGAAGATTGTCCAACAATCTTAAGACAGAAACATTTTTGTATTTTCATTGTATTTAATTTTCTGTGTTTTCAAAGTGATATTCTGGTTGGAAAATACAAATAGAATTATAAACTATTTGACGGATAGTAGTAATATACTGTCTATTTTCTTTGACAACTAGTAGTAATATACTGGTGTCATTAACAATTGTAGAATATTATTTGGTGTTACAGAAAATTATTTTGGTATTTTATTTTCTGGTTTTAGTAACTAGAAAATTAATTTGTGGTTTGTTTTTCTGATTTTTGTAATCAAATATTATTTCGGTATTTTATTTTACTAGTTTTAGTAACAAGGAAAATAAAATTATTTTGTGTTATAATTTATTTTCTGGTTTTAGAAACTAGAAAATTAATTTTGTTAATTTATCATAGTTCATCGTGAGTGTGTGAGTGATTTTCCGATCACACTGCCAACTTAGTTATTCAGCTGGAGAGTACTGGCAAAATTGGCTGACCTGCAACAGAAAGAGAAGATTCCGGCGGTAGTTCGTCCACCCAGGGACACTCCGATGATCAAGTCAGTATATCTCTCAAAGATAATCAATAGTGCTGAACTCACTGTTCAGAACATAAATTGCGTACCTTAGACCCATTGGGCGTGCCTCTCTTTTATAATTAACTCTATCCTAGTCCCTATAGAAGCCTAGCTTCAATGGACTTCTGCTCAGTGTTTATCCTAGACTCTTCAAGAGATAAAGATAAACTCCCTAAGAGTGTTATTCTTATCCACTCTAAAGGCCTTCCTTATTCTAGGACTCTTGTACCTTATCTGCTTATCTCGGATTCCGATATCTTCGGAGATAACCTCGGCCTAACCGAGATCACCTCGGCGTCATAACCTGGACACGTGGCACCTCGGCTGACACGTTGGCGTCACCTTCGCCACGTGTTGGGATTCAGAAAATATATCTCCACAACTGCCCCCTAGGTTCTATTACCTCGGCATCCTGAGGTGGTGGAACCTATATCGGTACTTCCTGCTAGTACATCGGCTTCAGCCGAGATCATCATTATAGGCCGACATGTCTCTTTAAGGTTTAAAAGTTTCCAAGATCTCCTTTACGCGTATGAGCTGTCATGCATCACAATTCAACCATTTCAGCAACGTGTCCTTCTCTTACTAGATCGTACTTATGACACGCCTGTAAGCCGTCTCGCGCCTGCGTGCGCCGTCTGACGAATCCTTTGTTCTAGGCTTATTAATTTTGATCTGCCGCCGTTTCAAGTTTCAACAAAACTTTTTCCCCCTATTTCATTTTTTCACTTTTTCCTATCGTTTCTGAGGCTTTCTCTCTCTCTAGCTTTTTCAAATCTTTCATTGTTTCAAGCTTTCAAGCTCTGCCATCGCTGTTGTTCACCTCCTCCGACGAGACTCTTGCTACCCTTTTCCGTTGCTGTCGTTCGCCTGACTTCGGTGAACTCAACACCGGCTTCTTTTGTTCTGGTAAGTCACCGTTCCTCCTGGTCTCAATTTCTTGTTACCTTACTGAACTTTACTGTTTTACCTGCTGTCTTTGCAATCTTGTCCATATTTTTGATATTTCATCTTGCACCTTGTATTCCACCATATATTTGAACATGTTTGTTTCATGATTCTATTTTTTCCCAAATCATCTTTTTGAATATACACTGTTCACACTCCTGTTGATTTCTGCCACTGTTCTTGGCCTGATACACCTGTGCAAACTTTTTGTCTTGATTTCTTGATTTTGAAACGCATCCTTGTTTTTCTATTTTCCAGATTCGTGCATTCAATCTTCGTTTAGATCTAGGTTTTGGGATTTGTTTATAGAACCCAAAAAGTTTTAGAAAACCTTAAATACCTTCTTTCTGAAATCTAGCTCCTATAATTTAGCCGATATCATGGGTATGTGGAAGCATAGGGTAGACACCCCGGCCAAATTAGAGCACTTTAGGCAGGAGTTCGAAATCCCGGCCGACATTCATCTAAGGTTGGCTGGGGAGGATGACTCTATCATGCCCGATGTAAACCTCATGCCTTTCCCAGTAGTAGCATTTATTGAGTGTGGACTTAGGTTTCTACTTAACCCTTTTTTTTGTGAAATCCTTCATTTCTATATGTTGAACCCAATACAGCTTGCTATCAATTCTTACCGAGCTATTAATGGTACCATAGCCTTAGCCAAATAAGAGAATGCTAGGATTACTCTTGCCGATTTCCAATACTGTTATACCATGTGTCGCCTGAAATCGAAAAAAGGCCACATCTATTACCTCAAGCCGAGGTTCACTGAATACAAAATCGTTTCCGACCTCCCGGACTCCAACAAGGGAGCGGGAGATGATTACTTCATTGTCTCGGGTAACTGGGAGTTTCAGCCAAACGATGACCTCCATCTTTATTCCCTAAGTCGAACAGTTTTCGGGAAAGGAGATGGTAAAGGCCACCCTTCACAAATTTTCTTGCTTTCTTGCATAAAGTTTTTAACATTCTGCTCTAATGTCTACGCTTTTTTCTTTTTTGCAGTTCTTCCTCAGCCTCAAAAGGTCTTCCGTTAGTCTTTCTTTCCCGGCAAAGACTTGAAGAAACTACTGAGTTTGTCAGTTCACAAGCGGAAAGCCCCTCTGCTTCTCAACTTCATCCCCACTTATAAGTCGGCTCTTCCCGATGTCCCAAAAAAGAAGAAGAAAAGCCTTTCTCCACCTTCTGCCACAACTTCACAAGTCGCGTCCATATCTCGGATAGACCAAGGATCAATCTCTGATCCAGCCGAGCAGCCGTCAACCTCGGCTCCATACCTGACCGCACCATCTCAGCGACAACGTCAGCGACGAACTATTTTTTCTTCCGAGATGGGCCGCCAGAAAGCTGTCGCAAAAGACCTTTTAGCCAGCATCCCTTCTGACGTTGATGCTCAGCCAACACAAACCCAGCCTCTACCAAAGCAAAAAAGAATAAAAAAGGCTCAGCCAAAGGCAAAGGTGACTCAGGTTGATCTTGAGGACACCTTGCCAATTTTCAAATTGGTTGAGAGTGAGAAGACTGCCTCTGTCCCCGAGAAGAGGTCTGCTGAAACACACCCATCTGAATCCATCAGATCAAAAAGACAGAGGTCATTTTCTACAACGACCTCGGGGTCTCAAAAGCATGATCCCCCTGGGCCCCCAAAATCACACTGGAGGATAAACCAGTTAGGGCTAGTGATAGTGCTGAAGATATTAACGTTGGCGTTGCCCTTAGTACCGCTCTGCTCCTTCCCGGCAATCTTGACCGAAACGCCGAGATGAGCGAATATGAGAACTATGCTCTGATGCCCTAGCGCTCTGTTCAAGTAAGTGTCTTTATTTAGTGATTTTTCCCTTCTTTCTCTTTTTTATACTTTAGAAAATTTTGTAATAACTTTTGTTTTGTTGTATTCTTTCTCAGGCAATCCAGCATGCCCACTTCTTCTCAGTGCAATCCTTTGAGGCAAGGCAGGCGTTGGTTGATAAAAAGAGAGAGGTTTCTAGTTTGTAAAAGACTAATAAAAACTTGCAATCAAAGATGAAAACCCTAGAGGATCAGGCCGAGGTCGCTATCAAAGCTAAGGACGATGCCAAAGAAAAGGTTGGTGCTGCTGAGGCGATAAACAAAGTCCTTCAAGCCCAGCTGAAAGAGGCCGAGCACAAGATGGCCGAGGCCCAAAAGGAGCTTCAAGATGCCCTGGCCACCAAAGAGGCCGAAGTCAAGGCCGCCGACAAGAAGGCATATGCTGAGGGGGTGGCCAACGTTACAGCAGACTACGAAAAGCAGGTGAAGTAGGCATATAACAGGGGCTTCACCCTTGGCTGGATGACCATGCTGAAAAGGCTGGATGTCCCCGAGGACTCCCCCCTCAGGAATACCGATGTCCTTCCTCTGCCATTCTACCCAACTCCGAGCCAATCCGCTGACGACGACTCTGAGTCCGAGGAGAAGGTTTTGGTAAGGAAGTCAAAAGACGTTGCTGGGGCCAAGTCTCTTCCTCAAAATGAGCAAGTCCTAGATTTGACTCAAGATGAGGAGGTTGAGGAGGTTCCCAAGGAAACTACCCCTGAGCAGGCATCATTGGACGTGCCTCTCGCCGACAAAAGCCTTGGTCAGACCCTTCAAGAGATTGATGCTGAGCTTGCGGCCGAGAAGGTGGCCGAGATGTCCTCCCAGCAGTCTTCCGAGATCCAGACCCAGCCTGCTAATGATGCTAAGGAATCGCAGTTTTAATGTCTTTTTCCTTTGTTTTTTACACTTTATACTTCTTTGTTTTTGAGACAATGTAAGCTCTTCATATGGCCGACGCGCCTTTTTATGAATACAACTTCCTTCTTTTTTAAATGCTTGTATATTTGTCTTCCCTTTATTTCTTTTGTATGACTTTCATACTTGGAATAATTTTGTGTCTTCAAAATGCTCCTTAGTCTTTGTGCAACCTTCTCGGGGTGAAACACCTTGGTAATACAAACTGATGATTTACCTCGGCAAGTACCCAAGTACCTTTCTTAGTATAACCTTGGTTTCAGCTTGTAATAAAATTTCAACAAGTGTTTTACCTTAGTCTAACTTCAACCTGTAAACTTTTCTTAAGTTTCAACAAGCGTTAAACGTTATCTCAGTTTAACTTCAACATGTAAACTTTTTAAGTTTCAACAAGTGTTAAACATCATCTCGGTTTAACTTCAACTTGTAAACTTTTCTCAAGTTTCAACAAGTGTTAAACACCATCTCGGTTTAACTTTAACTTGTAAACTTTTCTCAAGTTTCAACAAGTGTTAAACATCATCTCGGTTTAACTTTGACTTGTAAACTTTTCTCAAGTTTCAACAAGTGTTAAACATCATCTCGGTTTAACTTCGACTTGTAAACTTTTCTCAAGTTTCAACAAGTGTTAAACATCATTTCGGTTTAACTTCGACTTGTAAACTTTTCTCAAGTTTCAACAAGAGTTAAACATTATCTCAATTTAACTTCGACTTGTAAACTTTTCTCAAGTTTCAACAAATGTTAAATATCATTTTTCTTCTCGCTGCCCCCTAATGTGAACCTAAGTTCCACTTGGGTTCTCATTATGCATGTATTTTTGAAACATCAGCAAGTATCTTATTAGTCATAAATATAGAAGAATTCTGCTAAAATTTTATTCATTACGTCGGTAAAAGACAAGAAATTCTAATGATAGAAAAATTTCAAATTGCAAGTGTTCCAAGGCCTTGGCAACTCTTTGCCTTCATCATCTTCAAGCCGATATGCCCCATTGCCCAGTACCGAGATGATTCTATAGGGTCCTTTCGAATTGGGGCCAAGCTTCTCCTCTCTGGGATCTTTCTTGTTACCGATGACTTTTCTCAAGACTATGTCGCCGCCTTGGAACTCCCTGTTAACCCTTTTATTGTAAGCCCTGGTAAGCTGCTGCTAGTATGTTGCTAGCTGAATTGTAGCTCTCTCCCTTCTTTCTTCTCGTAGATCCAGATCTCGGGCTAAGAGTACATCATTAGTCCTATTCTCTACTCCCTGGGTTCTGATTCCTGGGATACCGATCTCTAGTGGAATGACAGCTTCTGTGCCATAAGCCATGGCAAAGGGGGATTCCCCTGTTAATCTTCTCGGCGTAGTCCGATATGCCCAGAGTACACTTGGCAGTTCATCCACCCATTTTCCTTTTGCTGCTTTGTAGACGCGCCCGCGAGGGACCCCGCTACAGTTTGAACTCGATTTGTGTCGGTTCTTAATCTGAACCAAAGGGTCCAAATCTGGCAAATCGTTTGTGAGAAAACGGATTTTTTTGAAAAGAAGTGCCAAACATGGACTGCTTTGCCAGATACAGAGTCGCCACCTAAATATTTTTTATGGGGGAATTTAGGAAACCCTGACTCGGTGCCGAAGGCCACATGTCCGTCATCACCGGAGTTGTCTCGGCTCGGGAGCTAGGGTACGATTGGGGAAGGTCGGCTATGAGCACCCCCTCTCGCCCGATCCGAAGATCGGCCTCTACTAACCGTGATATCCGATTTTGAAAACGTTATGTGTTCTTATTCCGGTTATTAGCCTAGAATTACTATGTTATGCGCACAGCAAACAAGTATAGACTAGATTGCCTAATTTGGAAACAAGCATTGCATATCCGTTTGTTTTGAAAAAAATGTTTTGGAATTTGCTATTCGAAAGTAGGCTAAAATACGGATTTCAACGAGTTTTTCCAACTCAAACAATCCAACCTTCACCCACAGGCATTTAAACAGTTTATCTCATATAAGCATTTAGCCGCATGGTAAGCATACTCTCATGGCCACATTCACACGCATGCAATGTGCTAAAGCGAAAAACACTTACATCGTACTCCGTGCCAAAACAATAAACTAGTTAGCAAACATGCGTGTCCTAGTTCATGTTGAATTGCCTAATGCAGCACATACAGGATGCAATTAGATAGGCTCGGCTAACCTAGACATGGCATGTGAAATGCAACCAATTGATGCACGTATTGGAATTGAAATACAAATGCAGTTAGCGTGATGTACCGAGCCCGGTGCATGCAAGACAAATGTATGAATGCACACATGCATTGCATAAGGTATGCTAATTTTAAATATGCCCTAGTCTACCATCGTAAGCAGGTAAATAAAAGGGAAAAAAGACGTGGGGTTGGAAGACATACACCCACTCACGCACACTTATTACACAATTGCCCTCACTTGGAGGGTACAAATAAATATTACAGTCCGAATAACAAATACATTAATTATTACAAAATTTCTAATTAATTAATAGAAAGAATGCAAAAAAATAGAGAAAGGTGGCCACAGCCTCCGCCTCGGGATGCGCAAATGATGCATGCTCGAAATCTGGCTCGCCCGGAAAGCCCGTACCATACCACTGCCGCCTCTGTTTATACTGCCCTGTCTCTCTGAAAATTTTCAAAGTCCTGGGACAGGTTCCTTGCATACTGCAGAGTACCACCGGCTGGGGGAAATTCCCACCAGCAGTGCATAATTTCCATCGGCTGCTTTTGGATTTATCGGCCATTCACCAATGGCCGGTCGGCACTGAATTTTGCCGGTCGGCAGAAATTTCCTGCGGGAGACAGTTTTGACAGCAACAGAGAACAGACAGTATATGTCATGGGATTTCAGGCACATGTGAGCATGGTCATGTTTCCCATCATGTGTTGAACTCAGGGAAACATGGCCCTCGATACTCGAGCCATCAATGGTGTATGATAGCCCAAGAGATCGAGCTTGCCATTTGATGAAAAAAATGCATGCAACACACAAATGAGGACCAAGGCCTTATCATGTCGAAATCAAAGGCCCCGGTGACCGAGAGTTAAGGCACGTTACATCACTTATAGTATGAACGCCCCTTAACCCTCACACTTGGTTTGACACCCAAAACCAAGTAATGCAATGCATGTTATGCAAACATGGCTCAAAATGAAACATGATAGCAAGATGCAAGGCATGTCAAATTCCATGCAAGTACTATGGCAAGTATGCAATGCTAGGCATGCGAGATACAAATGCAACGCAAACATGGACAATTTAAGCAAAAGGGTCATCATGCTACAACACTTGATGAAGCAACCATGCAACAAACATGAAACAAGCATGCAATGGTGGCTTAAAATGGTAAAGGGGCAGACCTTAATCCACCTCAAAACAGTGGCCAAAAGGGTCCAAAAAGGTAAACAAACACTTATGTCAACATGAAAGCCAATGGACCTAAGGCTAAGGCACCAAAAGGGGCATTTTACTTCCACCAATATGACCAATCATGGCATGAATTAGACAAGTAAAAAAGGAATTTTTACACGCAAAAAAGGGACTCCAAAACCTCCTAATATGGTAGCTAAAATGGCTCCAAAGAGATGTATGCACCAAAGCTCATATCTAGGCATAAAAGGGCATACCCTCAAGGCATGAAAGAGGTCACACATGCACACATATAAACATGATTCATGGACTGAAATATGGTCCTAAATGATGCCAAATCATGAGGATGGTCATAGCTATGCATGCTAGAGGTCAATATGCTCAAAGCTTACAAACCAAAACACAAAGAGATGACATCAAACAAGGCAAGCATGACTGAAATGGATGACCAACAGACCTTAAACATGGTAAAATAATGCCAACATCTTCATGGAACTAAGCCAACACATGCAAGAATCATGGCCTAAACACAAGATGCATTTCTAAGCCAAATGGAGGAATGTAAAGCAAGTATGTTAAGCATGCAAATGGGTACAAATCCGGCCAAAAACAGAGATTACATATGACCCAAAACACCCAAAAAACTTCTGAAATGGGGCCAAAAATGATCAAGCATGTATGTTACCTTTTTAAGCCAAAATGCAAGGAAACAAGACAATAAAGGGAGAGGGGTGTCCCTCCCCTATGAAAGACTTCAAACCACCTTCCTCACCACTGAAAATCCACTGGTTTTCAGTGGTGAGAAGACCAAAACACTTAAGCAAACAAGGCCTTACCAAAGAGGCAACAAAAAGGCCAAATAAGGCCTAAGAGGGTGAGTTTGAACCCAAACCACAAAAGACCCTTAATGAAAGTTCTTAAGCATGAAAATACAAGCCTTTTTTATGTTATGCACAAAAACTAAATCAGCAAGCAAGATAGGTAAAAAGCTAGTGCAAGTTTGGGGAAACTAAAGTAAAATGCTCACCTTGAAGCACACTTCAAGAACAGCCAAGGCAGCCCCCTTTTTTTGATCAAAAACAGCCCAAAAACTCAAGAATCAACCCTCAAAGTCCTCAATCTCAGAGCAAG